AAATTAGCAGAATCATTAGCGAATACACCAAGTGCACTGATGGATAGGTTAACGAAGACTACATTTTTATACTGATTTTTCAAACTTTGAACAGACTCCTTATATTTCGCGTTTTTACGAGTTATGTTATTTTGTAGATTGGATTCATAACCCACTGTTAGCTCAAGAACGTAGAGACACTCATCATTTTTAGTAGATAGTAACAGATCAGGACGGTAATCATCGCCAGTTATAGATGGGGGTTTTTTGAAACTAGAGAGGTCAACATACAAGGAAGCATCAGCAACAACAACAACACAACAATAACAACAACAACAATAATAATAATAATAATAATAATAATAATAATATAATATTCGACCAATAAAGAGTTCATTAGATTACATTATCTATAAATATAGATTCTTATATAGCTGTTTCCAAAAAGATGTCGAAAACAGGATATTAATTAATAGTAAATAAATGTACTATAGATTATTTGATATCAATTTGATTACAAAACATTGCGACGATAAGTTCTTAAATGAAATTGGACCTAGAAAGAAACTAAAAATATATACAGAACTAGACGACGTGTCACCGTTGACTCACGTCATTAAGAGCATTTTTGAATACCCACATTTCGAGTTTGCCTTTGTTAGGTTGTATAGTAAGGAATGTAATACTACGGAACAATACGAGTGGATCTTAAATGGCACGGGTTTTGGTTGCTGAATATCATAACACACAACCGAGACTAAGGCTGAGCAAAGAGAACTCGAAACTGGAGTATTGATAATCAGGATATTAAAAAAGAAAACCTATGATAATATGAAAAGTAAACAGTGTCATATCTTGGAGTCAAAACTAATGCTGATCAATAAATAATCTACTGTGTATCCTTTAAAAAAACCGTTTTAATTTAACAGATATTTTAAAAAATATATGAACACAAATATCGAAATTTACAAGTAATTTATAAAATAGTCTTTCAAAACAAAACAAAAAACAAAAACAAAAACACCCAGTCATATAATTCTGAATTTTTTTACAAGTCACCTAATTGGGAGAGGAAGAGCTCTCACCACTATGATTATTCAATGTTTCAGATCGATCGTCTGGCGCTTTCGTTATTGATTGCAAACTTCTCCCCAAAACCAGTTCTCGTACTTATCAATCATTCCCTGGTTTTAGTTTTGGTGTAAGTTATAAATAAATAAAAAATAATTTATTTTTGTTTATATATATGTATATATATTATGAAGTAGTCGGGGCATTCTGGATTTTCGATTCACGAGTTGAATTTTACATTTAAAGTTCAGGCTGACGCACACAAGGCAAGGAATACATAATGAAACATGTGATATCTCTTTTAGTCTAAATGTGTAAATGTCTTTTTTTCGGTGGACAACGTTAATGACATTGGCTGTATATATATGTGATATGAAGAAATTCTGATCCTTTTGTATATACGAAAAGTATATCAAAAGTATATTTGATATTGTGGGATACCATCTCTGATATTTTCTTCAGAAAGCCCTACTGATAGGCAACCCCCTCCCCCAAAATATCAGCAATGATAATCCATAATTTCTGATATACTTTTGATATACTTGTATATATGTACAAAAGGATCAGAATATCGCTGTATAAATATATATATATATATATATATATATATATTGTTAGGGATATTGTTTGCTGTTGACTGTGACGTCATTCGCAGAAGTTGGCGTGCGACATACGGAGTGGCAATCAGTGAATACAAATTCCTTTGATCGGTTTAGACCCGTTTTCTCAATAAACATTATCTAGGATTCGTGAAAAAAATCTTTAATTCGTGTCAATTTCCTATATGTGTCTATGAGACTTATTTGGAACTTTATATACCATTCAGGCGCGATTTTAAAGAGGAAAATGGTTTGTGTTCATGACAAGAATACTAATCTGAGGAAACACAAGTCATTCACAGCTATTCTTGGATCTTGGAATGTCCTATCGCTTACCGCTTATCGCCTCTACTATCGTCTTTAGCTCCGACAATTCAATCTTTTTGAAAGGGGTTCTAGCAGTATAAAGAGTAATAATTCTCAACTAGATTCCCAACGGTAATTTTTAGATTATTATTTTATTTATTGTATTTATATGTTTTTTCTTCTTCACATAATTGCTTTTCAATCATTCCCAAGAGAAGATAAAATAACAAAAGACATGACGGCTATGTTGGGCGATGATATAGCAGTGGCGGATCCAGGATTTTTAAAAGGGGGGTTCCGTTTCTTAAACTGTGTATAATTCTCTTTTGTTTAGTCGATGTTTGACAAAAAAATTGGCTCTAATCACCTAATTTTTTTATCTAGTAACGGAACTTAAAGGTAAATTACACATTATAACAGCAAATATCTATCATTTTGTGTTCAACATTATCCTTGTGGATACTTTTAAGCAAAATTTATAAGACATATTTCTATTAACTAAAAGATCAAACCTTCAAGGGAGGTTCCGTGGACCCCTTCGACCCCCCCTGGATCCGCCACTGTATAGCAAAAGAGATTACGAATTTTTTGTTAAGTTTATCCAACATAGCAGATGTGAAAACCATATGCATAAATAGCTTTCAAACAATTGATTAAAAAACTCAGTGAAAGTAATTACACCACCAAAAAACATTTTAAAATTAAAAATATTGATTTCCACGAATTGCACACTGAAATGCGAAATTGTAAAAGTATTTCTTCTATATTTTCCTGCTCGACATGGTGATCTGCGGTCTGACAAGAATCTGTTTCGATTCCATCTTCTGTTTTGGTTTTCATTTGGTTTCTGGGCCAGATCCTCCAAATCCAGATTTGAAAGAAAAACAAAACGTTGACTCATTAAATAACTTTCAATGATCGATCACTCGGTCGCTCTTCTCAGCCACTTAACTTAAACATATTTAACTTGAGTAAAGCCCTAGTAAAATAAATGGCAATACCATAATCATTTTAACGACTGAAAGATGCCTCGAAATTCCTAATTGATAGCCTTTTGGAGAGCATTTTGTTACGGGACTTCAACTGATAGCATTATCACATACATGTTTTCCATTTTATATAATTATAATAATATAATCCTGAACGTGCTCAATTCAACAATGCAGTTCTAGAAAAAATATATATTTAGTAGGCCTCGGGATGTTTTGCCTAGTCTGACTCAACTACAAATGATAATTACTTCATTGCATGTGCACGACAAAATGTACATGTATACATGAATACTCTCTTACCAATAATTCCCATAAACCACGCAGTTATTGCATGAGTGATAAATTCTCATAGTGTAATATTTCGACTTTCTCCCTCTTAGTCTGGCTATTTCCCCCTCGACTGACTTCTCTGGATCCACTCATTATCTTTTAGACTCAAGAAAGTGCCAGAGGGGAGTTTTCTGACTAAGTATTGCTGAAATGATACTGTTTGTTTTGTTATCATAAGTTGGAGAGAATGCTCTTAGAGCTTAGACCATCGATGGTTGTCAGTCTTGAGTGCATCAAGCAAGCAACATTATATTTTGTTGTCTTGGACATTCTCTCTCTCTCTCTCTCTCTCTCTCTCTCTCTCGGCTTTCTTGACTGGAAAACAATGTACGTTTAATGTAAAAATAAAGGGAAAGAACTCACTTACTCTCTTCTCACCCTCCCTTTCTCCCTTCCTCCCTTCCTCCCTTCCTCCCTTCCTCCTTCCAAGAAATGGAAAACATCACGAAATCATTCCCTTAGTACTGAAATAATAAGAAATAGTTCTCAATTATGAAATATACTGAAGAAAAGATTAGTCGTAGATATTTGAGATCTGTTTTTTTGGTCGTGCTAATGATAATAGGTTGTTGTAGATGTTGGTGATTATTTCCAATTCGTCTTAACTAATCGCTCTCAGCAAGAAATCACTTTCATTCTTAAGTATAATGAATCGTATATATTTTCATACTAAATTTCACCCTAACGACGGGTCGTCATTTTTCAGATAACCACTATTATCGGCTTGCCTAGTCGAAGCTGCTAGTTTTATTACTGGATTTTTAGCCGTTTAAATCTCGCTGGCGTCAAGCCACTTGAGTAATATGTTATTAAAATAAAGGTAGCATCGATGAGGTTTAGAGCTGGTTTCTTTGATGTGGAGCAATAAAGCTTCGATTCAAAGAAAAATACATTTTTTCGCAATGACTATAATTTTTTCCATGATCACGACATCTCTTATCTTCGCAACGTGAAATTACTAGATATTGATAGGCGATCTTGTTAGCAAGAGAGAGAGGGCGTTCTATTGTCTTAAAGGATTCACAGTTGAAGTAAATAAAGACCCTATTGGTTAGTCTTATTCTCATTTAACATAAATGCACCTGCCGATCTTATTAATTTTTTTACGATAAAGGAAACAGTTCAAACGTAATGGACACTTCAAAAGAATTAAAAAAGCCGAGGATAAGTTACGTTGCGTTAGTGACAATGCTCTCATAGTCCAAGCAGCACATTTATAGATTGGTTTCGACCCATCGAGTGAGGTGAAAAGCGAGCGAGTATCTTTAACCTACCGTACGATTCCAAGCAGGGCCTGCAAAGAAACAGCTTCAAGGACTGCCAACAGCAATCTAGAATGCTGAATTTTAGCTTGAATGTAACCACTAACTCCACTAATGGAACATTTCAGGCCAGTGCATTTGAAACTTGTTATTTTATTAAGTGTATGTTTAGTGATGGTGAAAGGGCAGCCATTATTTTTGTCTTCTTTGCAACGTTTTTGATTTCACTGGTCGGCAACTCCTTCGTGTGTCACATCATTGCAAAATCCCGAAAGCTTAAAAGCTGCACGAACTTTTCCATTCTCAACCTCAGCATTGCTGACCTTTTACTGACGATTTTCTGCATCCCGGTCATCACTATTGATCTTTACATCGTGGCCGATTGGGTCTATGGACTCTTTATCTGTCGACTGGTGGCGTTTTTGCAAAATACAGCTGTGGTATCATCAATTCTCATCCTTCTAACGATTAGCATAGAAAAATTCCTTGTGGTCTGTTATCCTTTCCAATCACGCGTCTATCGAAACTTCTTTCGTTACATCATTTACATTGTCTGGATCCTTGCCATCGTTGACTCGGCAGCGATATGCATATTGAAGAAGACGGTGCCTTTTGGCGAGAAAACATATTGCATTTTTGAATGGCCAAGCTTGAGATTCCAAAAGATCTACCTAATGGGGCATGGAACAGGGCTATTCTTTCTGCCACTTTTGTTGATGACCTGTCTTCACACTGCTACGATCTATGTCATTCAAAAGAAGACGACACATCGGATAAATGGATCCAAGACTACGATTCGTACCAACGTGAGGAAGCTTAGACAGAAGCGCAAAGCGGTGACGATATTGGTCATGATTGTGGTACTTTTCACGATTTCCTGGGGGCCTTTTCTCTCTCTCTCGATTTGGGAAGCTTTTGCTGATTTGGAGAAAAAGATGGCATTGTATAAAACTCTTAACCAAATGTTTGTGGTGTGTTTATGGATGATGTTCTTGAATGCTGCCGGCCATCCGGTTATTTACTGCTTTCTGGGCAAAGAGTATCGTAAAGCTATGAAGCAATCCCTATGGAAAAAGACCCCATCGTCAAATACTAGATTCACACCCCGGGATAATCAACCCGCTATACCATTAAGAAATATTGACCATTCTTAACTTGAAAAATCATCAAAACACTAAGTAAAAACAAGCTACTGAAGTGTTTGAGTTTATGGCAGCCAGATGCCACACCAGAAGAGTTCAATATCTTATTGAAAAGTCTTCAGTAAAATTAACTGCCAACGGTAAACAAATGAAATTACATAAACTAAGTACTTCAAAAGTCAGGATCCGCATCAATACGGCTAATAGTTAAGACTTTAATTTTATTTATCATTGAATCAAAGACATGTTTGCTTTTCAAGGAATTGATGGCAAGGATAAAACGGCTTCAAAAGTAATATGGCCCAACAAAATCGGACTTAGAAAATATATGTGTAGAGAAGTCAATATTTAAGCATCCTTAATCACTTATTTGCAATTAAATTTTTCAAAAGTATCTCATTTCAGTGAAAAAAAGTGAAGCTATCGCTAATGACTGAACTATCGATCGGCTTTACATTTTTAATTAAAAAGCATTTTAGGATTATTTTATTATTTTCAAGAGAAACACTTTTTCTTACCAGAATCATCCTTAATTCTATTCTAATTACTTTCCTATCCATTGAAAATCTTAACACGTCTTCCACATTATTCCAGCTGTCTTGTTGATCCTTTTTTTAAACTGTCTTTTCATGAAATCACACTTTCTTCGCTGGAAAAAGAGGGTTCGATATATTTTTGTCTGGTCGACATTGACCATTGTCGATAATCCTGTTAGCTTGTTCGCAATCATATAACATCGGCAAGACAAGATGTAAATAATTATTAAGGAGACTAAACAAAGAGAGAGAGAGGAAAGTAAGGCGTATTAGTGAAAGCTGGAGCCCCATGCTCAAAGGCATAACACATCTTCGGGTTAAGTGGAAACTCTTCAAAGTCTTCGCTTTGGTCTCGCATGACTGTAAATTCTTTTATCAATAATTAAGGGGTTCCAGAGAGTTTCCATACAACTTTTATGCGTAAAATAAACCATGCCTAATGATTGAATCATATCAAGATTTATAAGAAAAGGAAGAAAAGAACCGGCCTCTTTGATCATATCGAGTAAGTTTCCAGTAATGGACGTTTAAAACCATCTAAATTGGTGTTAAAGAGGAATTTCGAAGAACATATGGACATCAATACATAGACAATAATGGAAGGAAAAATTGCAAATTAACTTCAAAAATGCCACAATTTAGATAAATCTATAAATATCATTAAGATCTTAGATAGAAAAAAAGATGTCGGGAATGATCTGGGAAATTATGGTTCACCGCAATCACAATTTAAAGTGAGATAAGATTGTTTTTCCAATATATTCTATTTACTGAATAGCTAGTTAAGTCATGATACTATGAGGGAAGCTGCATGATCATCTGCATGTTCAAAATCTAGAAAGATCATGTCTATAAGTAAGGTTTAAAAACGCGTGGCTAAGTGATTGTATATGGAACTAATTTTTTTTGTAGCCGACGAGAGAAGCAAGATACTAAAGCTTAATTTTGGCGAATGCTATTAAAATTTGAAATTATATATCAAAAGGTGCGCTTGCAAAAAGAAAAAAAAGAAGGAAAAAAAGAAAGGAAAAAGAAAAAGAAAAAACCACATGTATGCAACTGTATACGTGCTTGATT